AATACCTGCGTCTGTGCGTCTCTCAGCAGTATTCAGCAGCAGCGTCTACTAATAGCGAATCTTTAAGTTGAACTGCTTCAAGAACCTCGCTACTGACAAATGTCATGTAGCTTTTCAGCTGCGAAACTATTTTATTGATAAATTCGCGGGGCAGCGCTGACAAGTTTCTGGTCGCGTCTCCGCGTGTGTGCCCGAGTGCTTTCTGTACTGTGTGTGGGTTTGTGAGAGAGACTGGGAGAAAGAAAGCCTGATTTCCGTACATAAAAAAGGTTGAAGACATGGAAATATTTTTACATTTTTACCCTATTGTTTGTTATATTTATTTGCTCAATGTCTTCTGGGGTTTTGGTTCTCTTACTGTTGTAGATAGCCCAAAGTATAACAAAAATATTATATATATCTTCATTGTGTTTGGGCCCCCCGATGATCAAAATTGATGATAAAATTCTTATCTGATGATCAAAAGATTAATGTACACAGAGAATAATTTCCCCTGATAATATATTTCAGCAAAAACGCCATCTGTATTTTTCTAACAGATGGTAACTTTAGAATCAATAGCGATGCGAAACGATTCGGTCAGACGGGGGTTGCAAAGGGTTCGCGATTCAGTTTGATTAATTCGAACGGTTCACTCACGCACTGACTCGTTTTTGCAGCGGCACTTCGAAATAGTAACGAGATACTTGATAAAAAAAAAACAAAGCGTTGAATGAGTTGGATATTTAACTAAAATCCATTGTAGGAAACAGAACTGACATATGTCTTCTAGTAGCTCTACTGTATTCTTGAAAGACTAGAAATGCTGGGCTGGCTTTGACTCACAATATATAATGTAATCTCTGACACACATAAACCATGTAAACTATTACTTATTCAGTAGTAGAGTGCATTTTGTCAGCCAAGCATACACATTAAAGCTTCTCAAATGCACTCATGAGACCTGTTCATAATGTGGATTATGGATAAGCATAAAACAGCGCCACCAAGTGGATAATAAAAGAATGAAAGCAAGAGCGGGCAGACAGTGTGCTTTGCGCTTCTTGTAAACAAGCAGAAAAAATCTAGAATTTTTTTTTTTAGCACATTTTACAATAAACGAGCAAATATATGTGTAGGTATTATTTAAAGTAGGGCCTACTTTTTGTTTCATGAGAATAATTATTTGGTTCTAATTAAGTATGTTTTTATTAAACAGCTTGAGACGTCTTAGTCAGGTATTTACCCATTGAGAACGAAACGTTCCTTCCATGCTAAACTAATTTGGTTGGACAAATACAGAGTTTGTATGCGTCACAGTGAGCGCCACAAGAGGTTTCCAGGCATCTAGAGATGGTTTCCAAAACCACAAGCTCACTGGCTGCAAAGGCAGTCGAGCTGTTAAGGGAACATGTAGGGATTAAAAGGCTTTTAACCAGACATAAACTCATTTGAGAGCCTGAGATAGGCATTTTAAGTAGATAATTATAGCAAAATACAGGTTATGTACGGGAGGGATGTTTTCGTGCTGATATTTAGAGCTCAGCATTGAGGTGGCCTAACAACATCTGTACAACATTTGTCTTTTGTATAAATCCCTAAGACCATCTCCCTTACACCTAACCTGTTTCTCAGAGAGTGATACATAAAAAGCTCCTCTAGAACTTTGGATCAAATAATATGAGAGAAATATCACCATCTAGAGGTTAGTGATGGCACTATACTGCAAACAAACAAACAAACACTGTTCAAGTTCAATTTGGCCCATGTGTTTGATTAGTTCACTATGTTTCTGCTTTCCTACAGACCTACACAGATAGCTCCCTGTTCCGACGTTGCAGCTCAATTTCAAAATACTGCAAGAGGGCACAGGTATGATGATTATTATCTGTGCAGCTACTGAACATCAGCAATAATACATCTAAAAGCCACAGCATTTCACATGGTAACGCAGGTTAAAGAAATCAGTAAAGCAATGCATTGTCATACACAATACAGAAGCAGATGTTCAGTTTGACAAATTAATCTTCCTTGCTATATTTTGACAAGCTATTTTTTATTTGTAAACCAGTTAAATAAAACTTCAGAAAATAATGCACCAATTTATCATTTAAAAGAAAGCAGTAGTATAATTTTTGATAAATTTGACATAGCACAGGCATAATATAAAAGTAAATCTTTCATAACTAATTAATTAAAAATGATTGTTATTCATTTGCAGGGGATTCAAGCTATTGTGTTTGATATGGTCGGTTAAATATAGGGATAAAATATACCGGATAGGTTTGGAGTGATCATTTGCATGGCAAATATTACGCTGCCATTATCCGACAACCAGAAGGTTGTAATAATTCAGCCGGCAGCCTGTAGTCTGTCTAGAGAAAATACTTTATATGATAAATTAATCATTGTCAGATAAAACAGTAAACACACCTTATAAGATATGTTTTGCATTAGTGTTCGTGAATTTTCATGAATTTCATATCAAATACATCACACAAATCACAATTTTTTAAACTTTTATTTTATTTCTTAAATCCAAGAACGTATGAAACACTGAAGGAAAATGTAAAAATGTGATCAAAAAACAATATTTTCATATATCCCTTGCAATATTTCTACCACACAAAAATATTTTCACTTGGTTTAGATCACAACACCACCCAAATACACCGCTGAACAGCCAGTGCAAATGTCTGAGCTGTTTGTCTGTAAATTAAAATTACTAGCTTGCTTTGGTCCTTTTTGTTTAAAAACCCATCACAAATGTAACTTCCGATGAAGAATACAAGTGAGCTGCATAAACCCCACTGTAACACAGTTCTGATATACTTTTTATACAATCCATAGAGCTATGTATGCCCGAATAGGTCAGTTTACTTGAATGTGACAATGTATTTTAACAGAAGCGTGGAGCACCAACTGCCACAAGTTTAGCCAGACTGCCTGCTCTTAATCCAATCATTAACTGCGTCTAGATTAATCTGTATGATCTCATGGCCCCGTTGATGGTTCATGGATCACAGCCCAAAAAATCTGCTCTCTAGCCTGTATGAACATCACGTGATTAAACTTGAAAAACACAAAACCAAAAACAAACCAACCTGGCTATTTCACAGGATAAGATAACGATTGCTGAAGTACTTGTTTATTAATACAAACGTAATAATTTACCCTACACCCTTGTGCAAGCATTATATGGCATACTTCACATCAAGCCACAATAATTTTACAAGGTGTGAAATATTTGAAATGTTAAAACCTCTTATAAGCCAATTTAAGCTTTAGATGGACCCTAAACAAAAGCATATAGTTTGATTGCTCTAAACAAAAACAGCGTAGGCTGATAAGTATTGTATATCACACAATCCTTATTAGAAACAGATAGCTTGTGCACAAACCGAAAGATTTTAGAAATCTGTTTATATGACATGAATATCTTTGGGATATTGAAATAACTACACAATAAATGTTTTTACTCCATGAAACTCACATCAACTGAATGCACACTAAATTAGGGATGAATTTACAATAGTTTGCATAGATTCCTGGGTTTTGTATGACTGACGGTTTAGCAAGTACAGCTAGCTGAAAGGCATCAACAAGAGTGTTTTTCTCTGCTTTTTATAAAATACAGTATTTTTAGTGTTCTGGTGCAAGGAGGGAAAAGTGCCCGCATACTATTAGCAATCTATTCTCCTTTATTATCTCTGTGCTTTAAAGGGATAGTTAGACAAAATTCGTTTTGTCTAAAAAATCATTTTCTCACCCTCATGTCATTCCAAACATGCCTTTTCTTCTTCTTCTGCGGAACAGAAGAAAAAACATTTTGAACAATGTTTGAACAGTTTTTATCCAAAACAACATTGGACCCCACTATCTTTCATTTTATGGACAAAAACAGTACATACAAAGCTGATATTTTTCAAAATCTCAACAGAAGAGAGTCAGTCATAAAGGTTCAGAATAACATACAGTAAGGGTGAGTAAATGATTAAAGAATTCATCTGGGTGAACTATCCCTTTAAGGGCAATTGAACATGGAATATTATAACAGGTAAGGACACCAGAGCTACTTGAATTAATGACAAAATGGAAGCAGTATATGCTTATGTTCACTAAAAAAGCACCACCTATGAAAACAAATTAACCTTTTGACAAAAGTCCTCTTAAATACTAAAGTTAAAATGTTGGTGTACCACCGTTAAAGCTTCATGAACAGATATTTATCGGATGTAAAACTATTAGCCATGGGCCAGTTTCATAACTACAGACCTATTTAGCATTTTCAACTGAAACACAACTGATAGTGTGATTTAGTCAATATCTAGACTTAACCAGTGTCTGGATATCCATCTCGAAGTATAAGAAAATGAAGACAAAAGCTTGAGGCACTATGTCCCACCAAAAACATTGAGCAACACATCCAGAATTTGCATACACACAGAAAGTGCAGTTGTAAAGGTTACAATTGGTGTCTAAGTGCATAGATTTGTTCTCACATTTACAGTATGGCTTATTTCAAAGATTCCAGGGTTTCAGAGAGAGGCCTCTCATTGTCTCTTGGTGTGCTTGGAGTTGTAGTGGCTCCGCATGTCTTTGCGGAGACGGAACTTCTCTCCGCAAACGCCACAGATGTACAGATGCACATCCATGTGCTTCTCAAGATGTTCGCCGCTGGGGAAAATCTGGAAACACACCTGGCAGATAGTCTCTCCGGCAGACAGGTGAGAGATCATGTGTCGCACGTGATCGTGTTTGAGGAACGTACCCTGATCACACATGGGGCAAACGTACCGCGCCATTCCCTTGTGCATGTCAGTGTGCAACCGCAGCTGTCGCTCGCGCAGAAACTGTTTCCCGCAGGTCTGACAGGTGAACTGCTTTTCCTTGGTATGCACAGTGTAGTGCTCCCGTAGATGACACCTTTGGTAAAAGCCTTTGCCGCAAATTGCGCAGAAATGCTTGCGCCGATGGTCTGGCTCACTGCCTTCTTCCAACAGAACGGGCCGGAACGACTCCTGCTCCGGACAAGCCAACGTGTGCTCCACCGCAAGACTTTCGCTTTCAAATATTATTCCACAGAGTGGACAGCGAAAGCCCAGGTCAGCTCCTTCTAACAAGCTTTCTTCCATAGCCTCAGCATCTTCAAGTAGAAGCGATTCCTCACCTGGGGAGTCCGTCTCGGCCCCTTGGGTTTCACCGCAACGCTCGGCGTGCTCCTGCAGCTGCCTGCCTTTAATGAGCACTTGGCCGCACCTTCCACAGGCGCAGATATGTCCCATGTGGCTGGAAATGTAATGAGCGGACTGATCCTCCTCCGTCAACAGGGCTCCGCACAACTCGCATGGAATGCACGCGCCATCTTGCTTTTCCTCTTTGATCCGGTGCACCTTTGGATCCGTGTCTAACCCTGTGCTTTGGCCCTCCAAAGCATCCATGGCTGATACTCCAGCCTCTTCCTCACTGTCAAACTTCATCTGGTCTGCAAGATTGTCTTTGTACACTCTGGTACGAACTTTGCAGCTCCCTACGTTATGGTTCCCTACCTTTATGACTTTTATAGTTTCCAAATCGGTCTCAGAATCGTCATCTCGCTCCACTTTAATGGTAATATTCCTGGAGAAGGCAGCTTTGCCATCCATGCCAGTGGCGACGGACCTGATCACGGTCTCTGTGTCTGGCTTGTGGTCTGGCCAGTCCTCTTCGCCCTTACAAACCGTTCTGTACTCATCTGTACCCTCTGAGGTCGAACTCTCGGCTTTTCCGGCATCGCCATAAACCTCCTTGCTGACTTTGGGAGTCTGGAAAGCTTTGCGATTGGTGCATGTGAGGATGTGTTCGATGAGCAGCTTTTCACAGCTGAACACAAAACCGCAATCGTCGCAAGTGTATGTACGACCAAATCGAGGACGTTCTTTCATGGCAGAGCTTCGGCCTGAAGTTCTCTTCCTCAAGTCACATGGCTGGTCTACAACGGTCTCTGAGTGTGGCGGAGGGTGTGGTATGACCACATCTTCAGCAGGCCTGACAGTTGAGATGTTAATGGTCTGACGAGCAGTTGTGGTTAAGGCTTTTGGTGCGCATTCATTCTCAGAAGGGCTTGGTCGCTGCTGCTCAAACATTCGAACGCCGAACATCATCTTGCTTCCCACCATGCCAGATGAGGACGAGGAGCTGGATGACGAAGAGGACGATGCAGAGGTCGAGGGTGTCAGATTGGATGTTTGGATGTCTCGGAGGTCCTCCAGTGAGTCGGGGATGTAGTACATTTGTAGGTAGGCCATAGATGATTTCAGCTCTTCAAATTCATAGTGATCTACTACAATTCGGCCAAGGTACATGAGCTGCAGAATGAGATCAAAGCACTCTGCGCTGATCTGCATGTTGCTAAGATCAAACCGTGTGGTTCCCTGCTGATCCCGGATGAACATCATTCTGAAGTAAGAGCTGCAGGCCGCCAACACGGCCTTATGGGCCCTGAAATAAATGTCCCCTATGGCAATGCAGCAGTCACAGAGGAAACCCCACTCCCTTTGGTTGTTGAGCTGCTGCAGGACATGCTCACTGTGGCTCGGCCTTGCCATTACCCTGTGAAGAATCGTAAAGAAATACATGATACATCAGCAAGACCCAGGTTTAAGGAATCTTTTTCCTTCTCACAGGCGCCATATCATGATAATATCATGACTCATGTATTGATTTGCAAACTGAAGAGTTGATCTAACTGTGGAATGGAAACGTGAGTGCACAGATCTTATGATACACTTTTAAAAGTTGGACTATTTTTAACTTGACATGCTGCCTTAAAAACATAACACTAAGGACAGGACATCCATAAACAGCCAAAGATGTGTGAATGCGTATCGCTGTAGCTTAAAAAGGGGATTTTTTAAAACTTCTATGAGAGGGTTTATCATACCAAATTTCTAAGAACTAAAGTACAGCAGGCTAATTCAAGTAAAAATATCTAAATTAAATAAGACTGCTGTTCAAAAATTTGGGGCCACTAAGCTTAACAGTAATATTGTGAAATATTATTGCAATTTAAAATAACTGTTTTCTATTTTAATATATTTTAAAATGTAATTTACTCCTGTGATGGCAACGCTAAATTATTCCAGTTTTCACTGCTGATTTGGTGTTTAAGAAACTTTTCTTATTATTTTCATGATGAATACAGTTGTGCTGCTTAATATTTTTTTGTGGAAGCCATGGTACTTTGTACTTTGATGAATAGAAAGTTCAAAAGAAAATAATTAATTTGAATGTAAAGTAAAAAATGTATGTTACTTTTGATCAAATTTCCATCCTTGCTGAATAAAGTACATTTCTTTAAAAAAAAATCTTACTGACTTCAAACTTTTGAATAGTAGAGTATATAAGAAAAATCTAGATAAAATAGTCAAACTCTAGTCTGTACTGGACACTTACCTTGATCACACATAACACTAAAAACTAAGTAATAGGTATTTGCCAATATGAAACAACAAAAATATAAAGGGGAAGATAAGAAAAAAATGAGAGGTTTAAATATTTTAGGTGTGATTATTATATCTTATTGCTTCGTTTCAGAAATGTAATAATATTAAACTAAATAAACAAATTATATATGTTGCACAGATCTGTAACCATCTGAGCAACCCAACAGGTAAAGTTCCTTATAAGGATAAACTTAATTAATACATTCAATTGATCGGGCAATAATAATTAAATAATTCGAGTCCAGTGGAATCTTCAGATTCTTTGCAAACTTGTAGAATACGGTTTTACTATTCAGAATAAAATCATAAAAAGCAAATGACAGCAGAAGAGAAAAATTGTGTTCATATAATTAATAAGCTTAGTAAGAACTGGTTTAAATAGTACTTGTTTCCGTCGTTCAGCTCAATCACAAACCAAACGGAGTGTTTTACATCCCGCCCCCGCGTTCTCATTGGCCTATTTTGGAGACAGAATCATGCGGGCGTTGTGGCTGTCAATCATACCGCACTTAAAAGAAAAATCAAACTACTTGGACAACACGCTACAGATCTGACCATACAATTATCCTTAGTGACAACATAAAGTTTTTAAAGGCTCTGTTACTTAAGAGACGGCATAACCGAATATATCTGACCATTGTCGTAGGGAGATCTCTCACGCAAGCATGCAAGTGCCACCCCCGCGCAGCTTCCCGCACATACGCAATGAGCTTCGCATTACTGCAGCTCGTGTTTACACGCAAAACACACTGAAAATACTCACCGACGGTAATGGGCGCTAACTTGTAGCGAACGACGGAATTCAAGTTAAAACACAGAGCGAAGAAGTTCCACCCCTTTTGCCTACGTCCAAGCGAAAACTTGGGACGAGAATAGCTAATCTCGAGGGCGAAGCCCCTTCTGTGCAGCGCGGATGAAAGTACTTCCGCACAGCCGCTCTGCGAGCTCTATCACCGCACTGAAATCCGGCCCCGCTCACGCAAATCCAGCACGCCCCAGCACGCGCAGCACAGTGAAAATGCAACCAAACCATGTATGAAAATATGCTCTTCAGGACGAACCCTTGCGGTCACATTCGTACTGGAAACGAAATAGAATGGTGTTATATAGCTTACATTTTGCACCTTTTCCAGAAGAACTACTTTCAAATGATTTGTTTTTTTTAATGTGTTTACATTACGCCTACACATTTCCTCGCTTTCCTCTGTATTGCTGTCATTACCATCATGCCAAGCATTTTAGAGAACTGAATTTCTGCAAAAAAGTTTGCTTTTATGGAATGGGAAGTCTGATTTCTGATGTAAACATCAGAAACATCACTATTTTTGTACTATTTATGTAATATTATATACATAAATATATATATTATAAAATATTATGTAATATTTTATTACATGATCACATAGGCTAGCTTTTATAGGCCATTAACAAACATGTTTAAAATGTACAATTTTAAACAATTGCAATTCTCATATACAAGTTAAAAATATATTTAATTTTTATACAGTCAAAGTCAGTTGACTGCTTACTAAATTTTGTCCAAGAATTATTTACATAGTAAAAATCATCACAAGCCATTTACCACACACACACTAATCGTAAATCCACACCATAACTAATGGCACATTACCAAAATCCATCTGATTAGATCTTTATTGTAGCATAGTTACCTATGTGATAAATGTTATAAAACAGATGAGTTTAAAGACGTATAATTGGTCAAGTGTTTAAATTGTTAGAGGTGTTCCTACATATGTGTGTTACACTAAAACAATTTCATGAGTGCTTCAGGTCTGTCAGACCCTTTTGCAAAACTGGCTTTGCGCTGTCGTCAATGCAAATTGTCATAATCCACGCATCGTTGAGGACTTTCCCTCACTAGATATAACTGATATATAAATATATATA